CATCAAGTCAATACTTTCAGCCCTTCCTACCTACTATATGCAAACCATCCTCCTTCCAAAGAGGCTTTTCAATGACCTAGAACAAAATAGCAAGAATTTCTTATAAGGGGATAGTGAGGAAGGACACAAGCTACATCTCCTGTCTTGGGGTCAGGTAGTTAAAGAGAAAGGTTCAGGTGGATTGGGAATCAAAAAGCTAAGGAAACAAAACAAAGCTTTTATCATGAAACTCTGTTGGGGGCTTGTATGCAACAAGGAGGCTTTATAGGTAAGGATTCTTAAAGATAAATATAATTGTGGGGATCAAAATATTCCTTCTGTTATAAAAAAATGAAAATCGTCACTCACTTGGAGGAGTATATGTACTATTTAGAAAAAGTTCAAGGTAGGCTTAGGTAGGAAGATTGGCAGTGGTATGACATCTTCCTTCTGGTTTGATAATTAGTTTGTGATGAATACTCCATTGATTGAACTAATACCAAGATATGAAGACCAGATCAATTAGAATGAATGTGCGGCTGGTTATGTAACTGATCATGGAGAATGGGAAAGGCAAAAGATGGGGATTTGGCTCTACAAGCAAGTCATTGACCATATTACTTGTGCACACCCACCCGTGAGGAGAGAGGAGAGGATAAAACTTATTCGAAGCCATCCACTTATGGCTATTTTTTATGTTAAATCTGCATATAAGTTTCTTTTTATAGGTACCCAGCATACGAGAGACAACATCTGGAAGATTCTTTAGAGATGGATAATTCCTGAAAAGATCAAGTCCTTTATGTGGCTTTTTGCTCATGGACAAGCACACACAACACAAGTTAGAAGTCAAAACAGAATTAAAGGAACAAACTCCTGCCCTTTTGATTGTGAACAGGAAGAAAATCCAATGCATCTACTACGAGATTGCTCGAATACAATAAACCAGTGGAAATTAGTGATCAGAACTGACAAGTGGACTATGTTTACCTCACTTCAAGGAGCAGATTGGATGAAGTGGAATCTAATGAATGACATTAGTTTGAATTTCACCAAGAAAGTCCCATGGCCCACATTGTCTAGTTACATTTGCTGGGATATTTGGGTGATAAGGTGTAACAAGCTTTTTTGAAGCGAAATCACTAACATAGGAATCAATGCAAATTCTAGCTTCTTTAAGGCATGCTCTATTACACCTTACTATCATATTGACTTAGGATTCAATTAAAACCATTTTAGACCACATTGGATCGTCTTAGGCTCAATTTTGTCACAAAAACGCTGATTTTCGGATTTTTACTGTTCATGGAGTAAAAATCTAGTTTTCTGGCTCAACTTCAAAAATTCATAACTTAATCTAGAAAAATCAAAATGGAGTGGTTCAAAATTATAGAAAAATATCTTTGAATGATATATCAAGGAAAAATAATTTTGTGGACCAATTCTATTTGAAAAAGTATTAGGTTTTTGTGAAATTCACCTCTATTCATTTGGCAAAAACCCTTTTTCCAGATTCTGAACCTTAATTTTGAAAAATCATTAAAAATAATGTAGTTGGCCATTTTTAACATGTTAGGTATCAAAATAAATCTCAGAACGTGATCTACAACCATGCCAAATTTCATGATTAAAAGCATTCAGGAACTTAATCAAAATGTTGCTTAAAGTCGACGGTGTCAGTAGGTTTACAGCATTGGTCAAGCTAAATATTTACATAACCAAAAGTCCATGAATTTTTATGGTTTAACACCATAATTTAACCTTCAATTTGCAGCTTGCCCTTAAAATTTTCAGTCCATAAAATGTTAGATTGCATTTGGGGGATAAGATTTCATTGAAATCCCAATACCAAATTAACCAACTATATCATCAACAAGCATCATTATTACGCATAACTATATTAATTACTATTGGTGAACTAGCATGCTTATCATTTGGCAAACTCAATAATGCAAAGGCCAAAGCAAGAAAGTGCAAAGAGCAACCACATCAAAATCAAGGAAGTTCATCCACATAATAGCAATTAATCATGCAATAATCAACAATGCCAAGTTAATGTTAGTAGTTAGGTTCAACTTGCTACCTTTCTCCAAAAGTTCTTGATCTTTTTGTTCTTCTTCTTTGCCTCTACAAATGCTAAATCCTAACATGACAATCCACCAAAAAAGAGCAGCAAGAATCATCAACCAAACCAAGCAAAAACAAGAACACAACTTAAACATAAATCTTGCTCCTTAAAGCTTCCACCATTGTTCTTTCATTTTTGAACTTTGTTTTCCATAAACCCTAAAAATTCCTTTTTGACTTATTCCTACATGGTTTTTCATGTACATTCCAAATATGTACTTGGATTTAAGAAAATAAAACTCCTCCTTTCAGTTCTCTCTTAACCAAAAATTACAACTTTGATTTTAATGCTTCCAACACTTGTTCTTTAGATTTATCCTACACCATTTTTCATTTTGAGCACAATGAAAGCATTAAAAAATTGAAAAAATCATCCTAGGGTCCATTTACTACCTTGGTGGAAATGAACCTCAAGAGAAACAACAAAAAAACCACTTCAAAAACAACTTACAACTAGTTGTAATCACTAGGATCTATCATGCTTTGAAGTGTCTTAACAAGTTTGACCAACTAAACTTCTTCCCCCACATAATATTCAGTTCGGCCAGCACCCAATAAGGAGGAGAAACAGAATTTTCAACCACAAAAGCAAGAAAACAAGGCAAGGATCTATTCAGAACCAAGAACTAACCTTGATTCTCACTTGTATACTCAAAGTTGATGCCTTTTTCCTTGGTTTCTCCTTAAACTCTCTCTTTTCCCTCTTGGTTCCCTCTTGGCCAAATTGAAGATCTGAAATTAGGGGGAGGAGTGCTTGTTTAATGAGCCAAGATATCCCAATCACCATCGTAAATGCAAATCCAAGTGTCATTATCCTTCTTAATCTTGCTTTCACTTTCATAATTAACTAAATCCAAATGAAATTAATTACCAAAAGTTAAAATCCTCTCCATTTGAGGAATGACACTTGGCAAGTTCAAATCCTCTCTATTAGAGGCTTGACACATGGCTAAATGTAAGCCATTTGAATTGCAAGACTCTAATCTTGCTTTATTGGTGCACTTTAACTCCAAATTTGATTTCTTTTCTATAATTACAGTATTCCGACCTTTATAATTATTTTCTGTTAGATCCATAATTTATTCTCCTTATTTTTATCCTCCCAATTTGCCCTCTTTCAAAATTAATTTCCCAATAATTAAATAAAAGGGAAAACTAATTTCCTTCTCTTTATTGATTCTTCCACTTTTCAAAGGAGTTAGGAAAAATCTTGGATACTTGAGGGTCTTCTTTTAATTCCATAATCTCTTATAATTCCTTGGGGGATCATAGGAATTTTCTTAGAATTTTATTCTCCTCAAAAATATTTATTTAGAATTTTCCAAATAAAATCCCTTAAATTGGCCTAAATTACCCTTAAACTCCTTTGTAATTTCTCTAAGGATAATTTGATCATAAAACCAATTTTATAATCTTATATAATTCTCAAAGGATATTATCCTTATTTTTTCTTAATTTTCCAAGGCTTGAAAATATTTTTTTCATAATTATTTTTGACCAACTTTTCTTAATTAGTCAAATTTTCATAATTGGCTTGGAAAATCATAATAATTATTTTCCATCAAAATTCTTCTATTTCTCCTTATCATTTTTTGCCCTTAATTATTTAGGAATATTTCTTATTCATAATTACCATATTACTGGATGTGACATGCTCAGATCAAGATCTCATGAAGCAAGGATTTCAACTACGCAGGAGGCAACCATCTAATGTTCATTTTGATAAGCATTCAAATGATTTTATCAAGGTGGCAGTAGACGGCTCAGTCTTGGATAATGGAAGAAGTGATTGTGGGGGTTTCATTTGTGGCAACAATGATCGTTGGATTTGTGGATTTAGTTGCAAACTGATTTCACTTCCCCCAGTTATTGCTGAATTACTAGGTGTTATTCATGGCCTCACTTTATGTTGGATAAGAGGTTACAGGAAAATTATTTTATTTTTTGACTGTATAGCTGCAATCAATTTTGCTCTTAGAGGATGCGATAATGACCATCCTTTCAAGGACATTATTGATGATGTTAGATTGTTGATTAATAGGGATTGGCAGGTCATAGTTTCCCATGTACTAAGAGAGGATATGACCATTGCTGATAGTTTAGCAAAACTTTCTCATAGGTTAGAAGGGAATTTTTGGCTTTTTGATCATCCTCCTCCTCTTATCCAACAAGTAGAGGTTGATGAAGGATAGGTTCTTGCTTTCTTGTATTTTGTTGTTTTGAGAATGGGTTAAGGGTCAAAAATACCTATGAATTTTTATCAAAAGTTCACCCAACACCATGAACCTTTTTGGGGTTCAAATCTACCCATCAAAGTTTAAAAAGAGATCAATAATACTAGCGCCATTAACATCCTTTTTTTTAGCTATGGGACCCATGATTTTTTTGATGAAATTACTAAAATACCTCCATTTAAAACAAAAAAAGTTAAGGGTCAAAAATACCCATGAACTTTTGGTATAAGTTTGTGGGTATTTTTTACCCATAACTTTTTTCTAGTGGAGGTATTTTGGTATTTTCATTTAAAAAAAGTAGGTCCCATTGCTTAAAAAATGGACGTTAATGGCGCTAGTATTATTGACCTCTTGTTAAACTTTGAAGGGTAGATTTGAGTCCAAAGAAAGTTCATGGTGTTGTGTGAACTTTTGGTGTATTTTCATGGGTATTTTTGACCTTTAATCCTTTGAAAATTGTTATTCAGTTTCATTCGAAAATTTTTTTTGGGATTTTATAAAGAATCCTCATTAAATATTCTAACCCATCAAATGCATATCCCTAACATGTCTATTTACAATCTCTTTGATCTTTACTAATTAATTCCCAACAAATATACCATATAAAATTATTTTAATAAATAAAGAGGAAATTATGAAATAGCTGAATTTGCATGACAATTATGCACAAATCAATTGCATAACCATCTCCTATAATTACACACACATAACTAAAATTGAATTGGCAAAAGAACATATATGTGCGTGTTAGTCTGTTGGCATTCATTTATTATATTCCACTCATACCACACGACACTCACTGGTAATAAATTAAACTTCAGTACATATAATGTTCTTATATTCTGACCAATATTTCTATAATTTGGGAGATAACTTAATTACAAACTTGATGAGGCCAGGAATATGAACATTCATCATATAGTCTGTCCAATCAATGCTCTTGGGGTCGAATTCAACATTCCTCATCTTCGTTGCCATGTATAAGTTTTCTGTGTTTGTGACATCAAACCTGTTATGTACAAAATTTAATTCATGGTTAATCAAGTGTTTGAATTAATATATATATATATGTGTGTGTGTGTGTGTGTGTGTGTGTGTGAATAAAAAGTTTCCATTCTTTAAGGAATGAAGAATAGTTAAGGAACATACACGGCTTTGAAGAACGCATAGGGCTCGTAAATTTTAGCCATTCTTATCGTCAATTGGACCTTTTTTTCATTGACACTGTACCAATCATTGAAGATCTGGAAAAACGCCTTGTTCCCCAAATTTAACACCTTGTAGAATACATAAAAGTATTTATACAGGTGTATACATGAGTTTCAATAACTTAACGACGCAGATTTTCTGTCAGGCACATATAAATGAATTAATGAGGGCATATATATAGCATACCTTTAGTGGTAACACATATCGGATCATCAGGTGTGTCTGAAAATCCAGATTTGTTGCAAATCTTAACTTGGACGTCATTATTGGTTCTCCATTTTTGCTGGTCAGTGGGTGTTTTGAGAAGAAAAGATTTGAGAATTCACTAACATTTAATAATCTGAGAGGATTTCTGGAAGAAGAACAAACATGGTAGATGAAATTCCCTGAAGAATCTTTATTAAAGGAATGGGTCACCATTGCTGCCACCATGCAATTTGTCACCATGTCCACAGGTATCTATATATGTACAATCACCATTAATAATTTACATTTATTTTACTAGTTTAGTTTAATTTTTCTTATGAACTTTAGAAGAGGATTTAAATTTAAACAAGAAAAATAACATCTGATAAATATGCCAATGTTAGCCTAACTTACCATAGCCACTATTGTCTTAGGATCGCCTAGAAAGTTTGATATTGTTCCTTTACCATCGCTACCAATCACACTGTCAACTGTTCTGCAACCAATAAAAAAAAAGGAAAAAAAAAAACAAAGGAAGAAGCCATTGATAACAATACAAGAGACATGGAAGAAGACGACGAACATTATATATCACAATTCAACCACTACTATAATTGCAATAATAATAATAATAATAATAGTTGTATACCTGAAAGCTTCAATCCATCCGGGAAAGGGTTCTTTGATGGTACTTGTTATTATGGAAGGACGTATGATGATTAAGGGCACATTGTCTTTATAAGTTGACAGAATCATCTCTCCCATTGCCTTTGTGAATACGTAAGTGTTTGGCCACCCATACAAGTTTGCCCTGTTACGCTTTTATCAAATTTGAATGATCATCATCATCATAAATATATATTTTTATTAGACATAATTAATAACACATCATAATAAAATAGGAGCAGAAAGAAACCTCTCAATTCCATAATCTCTCATTGCAGAAGTCAAGGCCTCTCCGCCAACATTATCTGCTTCAAGCTCATTCATTCTTTTCTCCATCATTTCTTTTTCTGATTCAATATCTAATTTTGAGTTCCCTTTTATTGTCTGACCCATCTTTAATGGTTCTTCTTTAATCACCTTCTCATTGTAAGCTTCACCGCGTACATATGCTGAAAGATTTATATTACATAAGTTGGTTATATATATGAAAAAAATTAAAGATGATAAAACATGGGTAAAAGTATACATTTGGTTTTCTAACTTGATGTGAAGTTTTAGTTTTGTCTCCCGATTTTATGAAGGGTGAACTAGCATTGAGCACCCCGATCTTGTTATTTTTCATCTGCACTCAGCACCTTAATATTTTTAATAGTATAATTTCACCATTGTTTTTTTAAAATTTGGTGCCATCTCATCCTTTTTTTAAAAAATTTCCATTTTCCTTTTATTCATCTTAACAATTAATATTATTCATTTTGTTTTCTTTTATCAAATTATTAACAACTTTTATTGGAGTAACTAAATTGCAATCATATCTAAAAACTGAAAAAATGGGTGAAATTGAACTTAGTTAAAGTTGCACCTTTATCCTTTTATAAAGGGTTCAGTATGGTGAACTTGAAAATTTTCAGCCAAGAGTGTTAGATACCTAAAAGCTTTTTTGGAAGACAAACCGAAAAGCTTAAAACCGTAGCAATATTACCATTTATTGTTAAAAATATTAATAGTCAACATCACTGTGTTTACCGTCAATGTTATCTTTTAAATGACAAGGATAATATTGTTATGATTTTAAACTTTTAGAGTAAATTTGCTCTCAAAAAAACTTTTGGATGCCCAATGCTTTTGAGTGAAAACTTCCAGGGCATATTTCCACCTTAAGCTTTTTAGAAATTATCTTGTCAATCTTTGCATCTTAATACCCTTTGTTTTGTTAGACCTAAAGTTTTGACGATGACAAAGTAAATAGCTAAGTTTCTCTGCGTATCTTTACTGATAAGCTTTTATTGATCACTTATTGGATAAATGAGATTTTCAATCATGTTTTGGATAAATGGTTAAGTTTCTTTGCATATCTTTACTGTTAAGCATTTATCAATCACCTCTTGAATATATGAGTAAATTTCTCTACACTATAATCAGTTAAAGAGTTTTGGCTTGCCGATATGTTTATCGATTTCTATAATATTCGATAACTTGATCTGAAATTAAGTAATTACTCTTATCTCAGTATTTTACTGAACAACTTATGTTGTTCAAAAAAATATTCGATGAATCTCTTCTTGTTTTTAAAGTTACATGTTCTATAGAGAAATTAATCGATAATCTTATCAAATACATCTATCAATAATTTCATCAATAAATACATTTATCAAACACCTTATCGATAAAAGTCACGTTTTTCCTATCTTTCATATCTCTATCCAAGTTTTTTTTAAGAGTCTTTTCTAACAACTTTTTGATAAACGTAATTATTGATAAGCTTTCAAATAAAACTATTTAAAATAGATTTGAAAGTTTACTTCAATTATCAATAAATTTTTGGATAAAGTAAGTTATCGATAACATCCTATATAAAATTGAGTTATTTTGTTTGAAATTGTTCTTCACGCTGTTTTCAGAAAATATGATATTATTCCATCTTCAAACTTTTCTCAGCTCTCATTGTTTATCTTATATTTTTATTAAAATCAGAAATGGCCCTTACTCAGATGGGATGCAAGTAACAAATCCTTTCACTTAACTTTTGAAAAATCCTCGTGATAAATCACTTTATTTTAACTGTCACTCTTTATCGATAAGCTTTTTCATAAACTCTAGGATTCATAATGATTTTGATAAACGAGTCTTGCTTTCAAGTTCTCATGTTTCTAATTAATCGATAACCTTATCAATTAGGCTATTCATCGATGAGATCTTCGCAGAATTGATTTTGTGATTCTCTACTCTCTGATTTGTGAATTTCAATTCATAATTTAAATCCCAAGGTTGATCATTTCTTCTTTTAATTATTTGCATTCTCTGATAAAGTAACTTATTACATTTATTATAGAGACATTTTTACAGGTTACGAGGCTCAATAAAAAATTATCATAGGCTTAGGCTACCTATTAGAAACACATTAAATACAAGACAACCATTGCAACTACCAACATACGCAGATGCTACTTCAATGGTTACAAGCTCTCATGTCTAACAAATAACTAAAAATCTCTTGGTATAAAACGCGAAGAGCATTGAATGAAGAAAAGAATGAACTTGAGCTACCATATGTCGAATTAATTCCTTGCATTCAATCCTCTGTTTCTTAACTTTGAGCATCAGTGTTCATTTTATATACTCTTAAAGAGAGTCTATAAATCCTTTTACTCATTTAGCAAGTGACTCAGGAGTGTGGGACTCTTAAGGGGATTGTATATCCTTACAGGAAGTAAGAGGGAGTGATTGAGAGAGCTCAATTACTGTACTGTGATGCCAAGAGCCTTTTGAATCTTGGAGTTAGTGAAGAAACTTAGAGGTGTTCTAAGAACTGGACGTAGATTAAGTGGTTGGGACTAAACCAATATAAAGTCCTGCATGTTTTTCTTCTCTGACTCTCCTTCAGTAAAATCTCTCTAAACTTATCTATTTTTCTTAATTCAGTTAAATTTTAGAGCATATTTTTTATCACCCAATTCAGCCCCCTCTTGGGTAAAACTGCTACACTAACATTTGGTATTAGAGCAGGTCTCTTTGAATAAAACTTAACCGTCTCAAGAGAGACCCTAATGGCAGGATTTGGTGATAGACTGCTACTCGAAGGATGCTCTACGATAAAACCACCCAATTTTAATGGAGAGAACTTCACCTTTTGAAAGTTGAGAATGAAAATCTTCATCAAGGCATAAGAATACAGATTATGGAACGTAATAGAGTAAGGCAATTATACTCCCAAGAAGACAATAAATAATCAACAGGTCCCTAAGGATCTAAGTGAATTTGACGATGAGGATAAAAGGCTTATTCTGCTGAATGACAAGGTGATTAATATGGTGACATGTGCCTTAAATCAGAAAGAATTCTTTTAGGTTTCAAGCATGAAAATAGCAAAAGAAATATGGGAAACTCTAAAGATAACTCACGAAGGAATAACTAGGGTGAAACAAAGCAGAGTCAATACTATCACTATAGAATTTGAGCTATTCAGAATGAAAGTTGGAGAAGGCATTCGAGATATAGAAGTAAGGTTCTCATACCTCATTAATCACATGAATGCTCTCGACAAAAAGTATAGCCAAGAGGGTCAAGTAAGGAAGATACTGAGCAGACTCACCAAATAGTGGGAACCAAAGGTGACAAGCATTGAAGAAAAAAAAGGAGAATCAATCCGGTCAGTTGTTGTACTCTTTAGAAGCCTAACAGAGTACGAAAGCAAGCAGAAGTATAGAAAGGAAATGAATGAGAAAACCCACAAAGGTATTATGTCACACCTCCTTTATTACCTCATTATACATCAATTAGAACCATTCAGAATCATTATACAAGGCTTAAGTGTGAGAAATTTTAATCTCACAATTTCCATTTCCTGATTTTCGTACACTATTCACAGTAATTTTGGACCAATTTTGAAAATTTATAACTAATTGTAGAAAAATCTAAACAAAGTGGTTCCAAGCTCTATGGAAAGCTCTTGACATGCTCTTTAAAGAAAAAAAATACTCTTTGGTATCCAGACCTCATGTATCAATCCCAGATCTCGCTCAACATGGTACTATTCATTTAGTCATTTTTCAATTTTCTAGGATTTATGCCCAAATTTAGAAGGGCATAACTTTCTGTACAAAAATCCAAATTTAATGAATTACCAGTTTTTAAAGCTAAAAATGATATCTATAAGTATGTCAAATTTTAGATCCAGATTCATCCAAGTGCTCAAAATCATGTTGGTCAAACTTTACTCCCAAAAAGTCAACTTTTATCCCTTTTCTCATACCATTCTTCCTTTTTCTTTTTCTTTTTCTTTTTCTTTTCCTTTTCCTTTCATCTGGCTTTTCCCATCATACAACACATACGTCAACCATAATTTCTTGAGCAATTGTTTAAATATAAGATATCCATGTCATTGATACACATTTCACTATAGTCCATACATATGCATAATATTACATAACAAGCGTCATACATATACAAAGATGGTAAATCACTTCCATATACTTCCGTAACATAATTCCTTCCATCGATATACCATCTCCCTATTCTTGAACATATCCCTGAGGATCCTATTGATTATTTATTATTGAGGGGAATGAGATTTCATCCACGTGTCCTAATTCTAGATTTTTCCAACAATTATCTACTAATTTTGGGTTTTTTTTAATTAATTTGAAGCCTCCAGAATTATCACGAAATTGGACTTCATTCCAAGCCCAATATGGGTCCCACAAATGGTTTAGGATGGCTCAAAAAGATGACTCACAACCCAAATCAAAATCCCAAACCATTTTGAAACTTTATCAGTTACTATTCACTCGTAACATTCTGTAATTTTTTGAGGCCTCCAAAAATTCATTTCTCTCCATGTCATTCACCTTTTAAAATAATTATTCTCCTTTAATTTTCCACTGTTTTTTTAAAAACCTCCGTATTCAGAAAATTCTGTAATAATTTATTTTCACACCGATTTCACCTCTAAGGCCTTCATTGAGGTTCCAAAACCTCTAATTCACTAATTTTTCATTTTTAGGAAATTTTCTAGAATTTTTCTCAAATTTTTCCATTTTTCCCTTCTTAGATTGATAAATTTGAAAATGTCAGTCCGGACCCTTTTTGGGTCTCAGACCATACTTAGTTTTCTTATCCAACATTCTTTCCCTATTGGCCCTCAACTAAATTTTCATCCCTTCTATCAATGCTAAATTCACCTGGATGTGACACATTGCTCTTAAAGTTTAAGAGAGTAAAAAAGATGGTGAAGAAGACCTGAAGGATGAAGAAATAGATCTCATAATCAAGAGATTCAAAAAATTCTACTAGAACAAAGTACGAAGGAGATTTCAACCAAAACGAAAGGCCTCCACATCTCAGATGGAACCTAAAGAACCAGTCATCTACTTTGAATGGAAGAAACCTAGACACATTAAAGCAGACTGTCCTTAGTTATCTAGATCGAAGGATAAAGGTAAAAGAAAAG